TGTCCGAGATTCATCAACACTTGGATGAACATGAGAATGGACGAGGTCTGGGGAGTGGGAGAGTAAACGAACAACGACCCGGTGTCTGGGTCTTTGTGCCCGTGCACACACCACCGGGACTTGGCGGTTGGTTCAGAAAAGGTGCCCTCCACGGGTTTCCACCGCCGTACCATCCGACTCGTGATGATACGGTCGGGGCACTGCTCTCTGATCACTTTTGCCTCTCGGGGCGGAATGACCTCGACCGCACCAGAACTGGCCATGCTCTGCCACTCGTTGTCATCTGAAATCTCGAACTTCCCCCGCTCAGCTGGAGTGAGCCTGCTCAGAGTGACCTCTCCCCCCCGGCTGGCCGCCAGGACCTCATTGTGATCCTGAGAAGCCTCCTCAACCAAGAACACCCGCGCATCCTCGGCTCCCACCAAAAAGGAACACAACCCGTCTCCTCTGAGTCGCGACTCGATCTCCTGCACCCTCCGACCTACCTGGCCTGGTCCCCCTTCGGAGGTGCTGGCGTCTGAGCGGGTCGCGGTTGGCACAGCCTCGGTCGGTTCGAGACCCGGAGGGGGTTCGATTCTAGCTCGCTTCGAGTCGCTAACTCCCGGGGGACAGCTGGCGGCCCGCGTCTCCGCCTGCCTCTGCCGGATGCAGGCGGGAACATCACTCGGCTGTTGCAGCCGACCTCTGGGCGTTCTCCTTCCTCCTCCCACGGCGGCGTCAGTGGCGGCGGCAGCGGGAGAGGCAGGAGAGAAAGAGGGGGAAACCGGAGACGGGACGGGGGAAGGAGAGGGAAGAGGAGAGGCCGACGGAGGAACGGAAGGAGAGGCGGCGGCCACAGCCGACTCGGGAGACTCCTCTGCCTCTGGCGTATCCTGGCGAGTGAGAGGCTCCTCGTCTCCGTCGTGGCTCTCTTCGATGACGGACGGGAGTCGAGTGATCTCGGACCCGGCCCTTGCCGCGGCGGACCCTCCTGCTGACGACGGCCTCGACGTAGGGGTCCTCGGAGGCCCTGGTCCGATTGGGTCGAAACCTCGGCGGACCATCGGAGGTCCAGGAGGACCCAGGGGCCGCCCAGCAGGAATCTCGACGGACGGATCCGGCCGTGGCGGAGGCTCCGGACCAGTGGGCACGCTAGGCGCCGAGTCCGTTCCGGGATTCAGAGGTTCGTCCCAGGCGTCGTCAGGGGGCGGGCCCTCTCTCTGTACGTCAACAGCGGTAGCGCGCCTGGCCTGGGCCTGGGTCAGGAGCTCCTTCCAGCGCGGGTCCTGGGCGACCTGGAGACCGTACTCTTCCTCCGCGCTGGCGAGCCTGACTTGTTCTGGCGAGCACTTCCAAAGGCGGGCGCGTACCGCCACCCACACGGTGCCTCGCTCGGCCAGGACCACCACCCCGGGACCGGTCCAGGCGTCCCGTCGACGTCCCAAGGTGTCCGCCCGGGGCCCCGCACGCGTCATGCGGCGCCACACGAAAACCCACTGGCCTGGAGTGAACGACACCTGGGCCTGGCCGGGACCACGGGCCTTACTCGCCTTGGCGACCTTGTCTCGAGCAGTCGCTTCCAGAGCTAGCTTGCGAGCGAGCTCTCTGACCCGCTGAGACCTGGCGAACTCGGAGCCGGCCGAATCAAGCTCCGAAGCGGGTCGAATGGCATCCTGCCAACCAGGGAGGCCCATGTGATCGTCCGATAACAACTCGTGGGGCATGCGGGGGTTCTCACCGAACACAAGCTGCATCGGAGAAAAAAACCTCCTCGGTGCCAGAAGCGGTTCTTGTGAGCGCATAGCTCGTACACCAGTTCTTCGAGCTCGTCCACACTCCCTGGGAGACCCGACCCACCTTCGATCTCGCCTTTGATCCTATCCTTAACCCAGCCTCCATGCCGCTCCACACGGCCATTCTGCCAGGGCGAGTTGGCGTCGCAGACATGGTGGAGGACCCCCCACTGTTCGAGTCCTCGAGCGAAGCGACCCTCGAATTCGTAACCCCCGTCGGAGAGCAGGAAGTGGGGGGCCCCAAAAGGACGGACCCAGGCCTTGACAAACGCTCGCCAGACCTGAACAGCGGTAGGTTCCTCCACACGCACGCACACCTGCAAGTTGGAGCCATGGTCGACTAGGTTGAGAAAGGCCAACGTCCGCTCCTGAAAGGTAAGGTAGAACAAGTCAACCCCCACAATGTGGTTAAACCTAAACGTGCGTGGGAGCGCGACCCTTCGGTGGACACTCGTGCGGGCCCGCTCTGCGCACTCGGAGCATCTGAAGGAATCCCGAATCCAGCGAAGCAGATGTATCTTCACGCCACCGGCCCGGAGGACCCTGATAAACTTGCGGTTGCAGGGATGGCCCATGTTGACATGAAGGCGGAAGAGAAGACGCTTCTCCTCCTCGGTGGGTTCCGGCGAAGGATCCTTGGCGCGGGGGCCCGAGGGACGAGTCTCTGGCTCGTCGCCTTCGCTTCCGCTGGCTCCCTCGGGACCCTCTAGGTCCTCTGGCTCTCGCTCGCCTTCCTCTCCGCCCTCGGGAAAGTGGCTCTCGTCGAGTTCTGCCCATGTGGGCGCTCGGGACACGCTGGCACCACTCCACTGCTCCGTCACCGCACGAGCTACCGCCTCGGCAAACGCTGGGGGGTACTCCTGAGCCTTGGAAGTGCGGCTCTTGCCCTCGAGAATGACATGGGGGTGATCGCCGGCACACAGCCGGCCATCCATGATCTCCGACAGCCTCAGATGATTGGTGAGGAGCCCCGTGGGCTTCTTGTTGAGGCCCTCCTTAGTGACTCTGAGACCGAAGGTGCACATATCGATCCGGATCCGTCGAACGCCTGGGAGCTGAGCCACAAACCGTACCACCTTGGCTGCCCAAGAGCTGGCAAACAACGGATGCTCGAAGGCGAAATAGCGACCCCTCTCGGCCTGATAGGCTGCGATCTTCATACACAAAATGAGGTCGTTTACTCCTCCGACCACAGCCTGATGCCACTTGATGGGGTCTCGCACTGCCTCACTGATCCTACTTATCGCCGAAAAGGTACGGCAGGGCGGACAGAGCCAAATCATCTCTGGCCTGTCTTCTCCGATGGCAACCCAGAGCTCTCGTCTGTCGCTCGTCCGGCGCGAATCCCAACCGGTTTTCAGGTCCCAGCTCGACTTGGCCCCCAGACGACCCCCCTTCTGCTCCACGCGAGGAGCGATGCGAGGTGGAGAAAATACCTCCATGAAACTAACTCCTCGGCTGCCCGAGAGGTAGGTGCCAGGCCCGGGGTCCTCCTGAGCACTCTCGGCACTCGCGCGAGATTCGAGAGCCGTTCGCACCTGTCGAGGCAGTGCGACCTCGTGATCGTCATTCGTGTTGTCCCCGTCTTGCCACTCGAGGCCTCCGAACCTCCCCCCAGTCGGACTCCTGGGCCGCTGGTCCTCGGAGGCCCTCCGTCGGAGCTGTGCTCCGGCAATCCTGTTATTCGTGCCGCGTCCAGCCGAGAGTGACGAGGTCTCCCTGCGCGAAACGAACGTCGGGAAAACTGGAATCGACTGACTACTCGGACCGGAGGAAGAGGAGGGAATATCACCTGGAGCATTAGAAGGAGAGGAATGAGGCAAATCGGAGGAGGTAGGTGCACTCTCTCTTACCCCCGCACGCGTGCAGGGTCCAGAAAGTGAGCAACTGCCGCTCGCGAAGGCGGCCGAAAGGCCCAGAGACCGGCCCCTTGGCTCGGTCCCGGGAGTGCTGCATGTACTCGAGCATCTCACACGATTGGTCCTGAGCTGTTGCTGAGGATCTCCCAGGACTCGAGGCCCTGCTCCGGGATCGGAGCCAGGTTCGACGTCGGCGTAATCGTGGCCGTCTGCTCGGTGGTGGTGGTAGTAGTCGTGTGCCACGGGTCGCCGCCCTGATCGATCTCGTGGTTCTGAGTCGGCGTCGGCGGCATCTGGGCTGGAAGGTCCGGCTCCGTCCCGAAGGTCGCCTGAGGCGGCGGAGGCTGCTGAGCTGCTCCGAAGTGCTCCGGATGCCCCGAGGCTGAGCTCGCTGCCTGCCCCGCGCCTGAGCCCGCCGCCTGGCTGGCCGCCGCTGCCGCTGCCGCCTGCTGCATCCTCATCGCGTCCCACTGCGCCTCGACCTGCTGGCCGTTGTTGATCGCGTGGGCTATCGCCGATACTGCCGTGCCGACGTTCACGAGCATGAACCCGATCTGCCCGATCGCGGTCTCCATCCCCGAGAGCGTCCCGGCCATCGTGTTGACCGATTCCTGAAGAGTGTCGATCGCCACTCCGAAGTCCTCCAGCCCGAGCAGCTGGCGCTTGATTGCCGTCATGCCTTGAAACAGTTGCTGCAGCCCCTCCTCCACCTGATTGGGAAACTGCGCAGTCTGCGTCGCAACCTGGATCATCTGATCGACGACGCTCTGCACGTTCCTGAGGGCACGTACCCCTTCGGGTATCGACTCCAGCTGCCACTGCAGGCCCTGTAACAAGCCAGACAGTTGATTCACTGTTGTCAATGCCGCCCCTCCGGCTCGGAACTGGGGATCGTTCTGGAGAAGGTCGACAGCCTTCTGTGCGGACAATGCTGCTGCTCTGGCTGCCTCGGCTGCTGTGGGCGCCGCCTGGCCGTCCTGCCCGACGCGGTTGCCGCCCGGGACCCACGCGATTCTCTGGCCGCACATCGTACACCGAGAGCCAGAGCCGTGCTGATTCCCGTAGTAGCGGATGGCACTGGCCGGGTGACTGCAGTACGGCGGCGCCTTGGGTGGCGGCTTGGTGGCTGCCGGCCCCGTCAACACCCCGGCTGGGGGTGTCGGTGCCGCCGCTGCCGCCGCCTCTGGTGGAGGCGGACCCGCTGGCAGCGGGGGCTGCCCTCGCTGCTCGGCTCCCGCCGAGGCCAGAGCGTAGATCGCCTGGCTCATCGTCGGCTGCGCCGATCCCTGGATCGGTGTCGGGGGTGGCCACTGAGACGCCGCAGCTGCAGCTCCCCACAGCGACGGCTGGGGCTTCGGTGGAGTCGGTCCTGTCGCTGGTGGCGCTGTCGCGGTAGCTGCCGTCGGGATCGCCATAGCTTGCCCAGGACCCAGTCCCATCGGGTTCGACAATTGCTGAAACTGCTCCAGCATCTGCTGCTGACTGAGTGCAGCCATCGTCGGTACCGCCTGCTGAGTCTGGCCCTGACCGCCACCACTGCCGGCTCCCTGCTGTGGCTGAGGAGCCATCTGCACGTCGCCGCTGACTGCTGCGGCTGCCGCGCCGGGCTCGAAGCTCTGTCCGACTGAGAATGCTGAGCCGTCGAACGCCTCCGAGGATACGTCCGAGTCCTGACCGTTGGCCTGGCGCCGTGCCAGTAACTCTTCGGTGAGTTTCTTGGCGCCGGGCTCCTTCTGGTTCTTCTTGCCGCCCGCCGTGGCCTGCACGGCCAGGGCGAGAATGATCGCCGCGCGCGGCGCGAGCATCACTGGAACTGTGAATACGAGTTCTGAACTGAGATGGGTCGAAGGCTGGAGCGATTCGCTGGTACAAGCTCGAGCCCAAAGTCGCTACGGAAAGACAGAGGAGCTGCATCAGACCTTTGGCCATCTTGAGGCCGAGGGCTCTGAGGTGCGACGTAGCACTGCTGACGATGGGATCGAGGGCTCCGAGACTCCTCCTGAGGCCGGCCGAGGCACTACGGCACATCCTCGAGATGGGTTCGAGAGCTCCGGTGCCGTTCTTGATGGAGTCGGGGTCTCCGGTCTCTCTGATCTTGCGCGTGACCTTGTTCTGGCAGACCATCTTCTCGTCCTTAGTGTTCTGAGGGGATCCCGAGGCCCTGACCCGTTCTAATCTGGCCCGCTGAGCTAGTGACCCGTTCGTGCGGTTAAGCTCGAGCCCGATAGATGCCTGCACGGACTCGAGGTGACCGGGGATGGTGATGACGAGGATGGGTACGATGATGTACTCAGTCACCTCTCCGCTGGCGCTCATCATAGGCGGTGCCTGGCCAGCCCGCAATCTGAAGGAAGATGCTGTCAGAAAAGGATACTTCTGAAGCGCACTCTCGGGAGCCTCGTGGCTGCCGCGTGTCTCTCGCACTATGTCTGCCATGCGATGGCCCGATCCGAGCTTGGTGACCGGGATATCCTGTGACAGATACTGCGAGATCAGAAGATTGCGCGGCAAATCCAAGACACAGCCGAGGAAGTCTAGCAAGTTCACGCTCAGGATATGCGGCACGTCCTCGTTCAAAACGGTGGTCTCCACCACGCCCATCACTCCTCCAAGACACAACGGATACAGGATGGTGCAGAGGACCTTCGCCTCGCCTCCGATGCCGTGGGCCTTCTTGGGTGCCTTGAACTCGCTGGACACCACCACGTAACGTAGGCCGTACTTGGCAAGCGCCTCTGACTCTCGATTGAGCGAGGGCAGCCCCACGATGTCGCTCCCCGCGCCCGGGTCCACCAGGCCCTGAGTCACGGCGGCGTTCAGGTAGACGTCGCTGGACTCGACCTCCGCCTGCAGGTTCCTCAGCCTCTCGATCACGTCGGAGCTCAGAATGGGGAAGCTGCACCCGTCGAAGGTATAGCCCGTCATGCCTCGGCGAGGTCGATCCGAGCGCCTAGAATCATCCTCTTTCCGGGGATTGGGACACTCCCGGGCCCAGTGGCCCTTCTCCTTGCAATTCTTGCAACGGGTCACCTTCATCAGTCGAAGGATCCGCGGGTTGGTGCCTGAGCTGCCGTCGTGTCCTCGCTGTCGGTCTCCGCGACCTCGTCCGCGTCCCTTGCCCCGGGCACCTCCGCGGCCTCCTCGGTGTCCGTCGTCGCCTCCGCGTGGCTGCCTGGCTCCGTAGAACTCGCGGTCCTGCTTGGCGGCCCGCTTGAGGTCTTTGTTCTGCTTCCAGGACCGGCGCTGAACCTTGCCGGTCATCTGGATGAACGCCTCTGTGGCCTCGTCCTCCTCGAGGTCGAGGTCTTCGATCTCTGCCAAAATGGCCATGACGTCCGACTCCGACAGCTCGTCGTCTTCCTCCTCTGGTCCCTCCTCTGACTCGTCGTAGTACGACTCGTCGTCTTGCTTCGCAGTCCCGGAGCCCAGGGCAGGATAGGCCTGGGAGGGAGGAGGAGGAGGGGAACTGGATCCGTCGCCCAGGCCGTCTTCTGCGGCCAGGACGGGATGGGACGAGCTGCCGCCGGGCAGCAGCTTCTCGCCACTGCCGTAGTCAAGTTGCCTGAGAGCCCAGGCAACATCACTGTACTCGAGGCTGCCCTTCGTCAGCGCTCGAAGGTTCTGCTGGCCCTGAGCGCCCAAACCGGCGCCCTCCTCGAGCATGAAACCCTTCATCCGGTTGGACATCCAGATGTCGTGACCCTCGGCCTCCTGCATCTGCTGCTCCCTCCTGGCCACGAACTGTGTGAGGCTCTCCTTGGCGCCACGGGTGCACTCGAATAGAGCTCGACGACCTGCCCGTCGCATGTCGTCACCCTCGCGCTCACCACTCATGATGTCCATCCTGGTCAGGAGGGTGTCCAACCACTGCTGGCTGCACAGGACGCCCTCGCTGATGTCTTCAAACTTGGCCTGCATCGCCCAGTCAAACAGCTTGAGGAAGCGCTCGGAGCGCCGCCACAGCTGCACATCTGTGTTCCGATTCCAGCGCTGCATGGCCTTCTTCCACAAACGGTAATGCCCCCAGCCGGGCCATGCGGGCGGGTCCGAGTAGTCCCCCTTCGACCACCCGCCGCCGTCGGCCCAGCCGGAGCCTTGCCAGCCGGAGTCCTTCCAGTTGGAGTTGTCCTTCCAGTCGGTGTTCTTCCAGTTCGACTCCTGCTGCTGCTGATCCGACTGATCTCTCCCGCCGTCCTTGGACTCCGGCTGCTCTCCCCGCCTCCAGGGGTCCCGGCCGGCGTCGCTCCACGGGTCCTGGCCTCGGGAGCTGTCTCGCCCGCCTGGATCGCCGCTGGGGCGCCCGCTGCTTCGATCATCTGCGCCTCCAGCTCCGCCGCCCTGTCTCGGACCCAGCGCCTCCTGCACGAGCTGCTGCACCAATTCCTTGAGCTGATCTGGCAGCTGGCCGCCTGAGCCCGAAGCCTGAGCTCCGGTAGCTGGGGCGCTGCCGCCTGCAGTCGTCCCCGACTGCTGCGTGCCCCCTGGATCGATCACAGCGTAGTTCTTGCTACCGTCTTCGTCGTCTGCTGGCATACTCTTGCCGTGGATCCGCGCTCTGTCCAATTTGATGAGAGCAGCGCTCGCGCAGCAGCCCGAGCTGCTCCTGGCACCACCGCTGCCTAGCGGTGCCTAGGAGCGCCCATGCCGGCCGCGCCGAACACTGCTCCGCTACCAACTGTGGCAGCAGCAGGATGAACAGATGTACTTTTGGCCTTGAGCCACAACGACGAAGTATAGTACAACCTTTCCTGAGTGTCATAGCGGACAATCCTGGCTGCCCCGTGAGCTGGAATGCTGGGCTATACAAGAAAGATCAATATGCTAAACCTATCAAAGGACACCTATCACACATGGTCGTCCGCCGTCGACGTCGCTGTCGGTCGTCGTCGTCTTCGTCGGTTTCGTCGTCGTCGTCGAGGTCGTCCATCGTCCTACATCGTCCTCCGTCGTCCGTCGTTGTCCGTCGTCGTCCGTCGTCGTTGTCGTCGTCGTCGTCGTCGCCAGTCGTCTTTCGTCCGTCGTCCGTCGCCTGTTGTGTTCGTTGTCGGCATCGTCTTTGTCGTTGGCGCCGTCGTCGTCGTAGCCCGTCGTCCTTCGTCTGTCGTCTATCATATGTTGTCTTCGTCGTCGTCCACTGTCGTCGGTCGGCGGTCGACGTCGTCGTCCGTGCGTCGCAGTCGTCGTCCATGGTCGTCCGCCGCCGCCGCCGCCAGCGTCGTCGTCGTTGTCGTCCGTGCGTCGTCGTCGTCTTCGCCGTTTCCGTCGTCGTCCGTCGGCGTCGTAGGCAGTCGTGGTCCATCGTCGTCCACCGTCGTCCGTCGTCGTCTTCGTCCGTCGTCGTCGTCGTTCATTGTCGCCCGTCTTCCTCCGTCCGTCGCCCGTTGCTTGTTGTTTTCGTCGTCGTCTGTCGTCTTCGGTTGTCGGTCGTCTTCGTCATTGCCGTCCTCGTCCGTTCGTCGTCGTCGTCGTTGTTATCGACGTCGTCGTCGTCCATGGTCGTCCGCCCTCGCTGTCCGTCGTCATAGTCGTCGTATGCGTCGTCGTTGCCGTCCGTCGTCGTCCATCGTTGTCCGTCGTCGTCCGTCGTCGTCCTTCGTCCGTTGTCCGTCGAATGTTGTCTGAGTTGTCGTCCGTCGTCTTCAAGTTGTCGGTCGTCGTCGTCCTCGTCGTCGTACGCTCCCGTCGTCGTCGTCCGCCTTCCGCCCCCTGTTGTGTTCGTCGTTTTCCGTCGTCTTCGGTTGTCCGTCGTCGTCGTCGTCGTCGTCCGTTCGTCGTCGTCGTCGTTGTTCATTGTCGTCCGCCGTCGCTGTCATCGCTGTCGTCGTCTTATTCGTCGTCGTCGTCTGTCGTCGTCTGTCGTCGTCCATCGTCGCCCATCGTCGCCCGTTGTCGTCCGTGTTCGTCCGTCTTCCGCCGTCTGTTGTCTTCTTCATCGTCCGTCGTCTTCGGTCGTCGGTCGTCATCGTCGTCGTCATCCGTTCGTCGTCGCCGTCGTCGTCGTCGTCGTCCTCCGTCGTCCGTAGTCCGTCGCCCTCGTCCGTGGTCGGTCGTTGTCGGGCGTCGGTGGCACGCTGCCCCCCCTGGGTGCCAGCGCCAGAGGAAGCTGGAGCCGCAGTGGGCGAACGCGCGCGCGGTGGGCGACTTCGAGGACATCGTCCTCGAGGCCCCTCCCGAGGGCCGAGGCGTGAGGCTCGAGGCGCGAGAGTCGACGATAGCCCAGGCTCGATGGTCGAGCTTGGAAGACCTGTGAGGTTCGAGGAGCGACGGTCCAGACCGGAGGATCGAGGGCGGAGGATGGAGGTTCGAGGATCGAGGAGCGAGGATCGATGGGGTTCTAGGACGGGGAGCTGCGAGGATCGGGTCTCGATGCTCGAGGCTCGCGGCTCCAGGAGCGGCGTCCGATGATCGAGGATCGAGGCTCGAGGAGCGAGGATCGGTGAGATTCGAGGATCGAGGATGGATGCGATTCGATGCTCAAGGTGCGACAATTGGATCGAGGTGCGAGGATCGAGAAGCGCGGATCGATTATACTCTAGACGCTCCGCGGGACCCCACCGGCCCATCCAGAAACGATGCCCAGGCGATTTGCCAGGACAAGGGATGTGGAGGAGCATGCAGTGGAGTAAAGGGCAGGGGAAGCCGCAGTACCCCACGAGGAGGAGGAAGGGGAGGAGGAGGAGGAGGAGGAGGAGGAGTAGGATGGGGAGGAGGAGGAGAAGGAGGATGAGGAGGAGGATGGCGAAGAGGAGGGAAGGAGGAGGGAGGAGGAGGAAGCGGAGAGGAGGGAGGAGGGAGGAGGAACAGGCCGGATGATGATGATGATGATGATGATGATGATGATGATGATGATGATGATGATGATGATGATGATGATGATGATGATGATGATGATGATGATGATGATGATGATGATGATGATGATGATGATGATGATGATGATGATGATGATGATGATGATGATGATCAGGAGGAGGAGGAGGAGGAGGAGGAGGAGGAGGAGGAGAAGCAGGAGAAGCAGGAGAAGCACGAGAAACAGGAGAAGGTGGGCGAGCAGAAAGGTCAGAGGCCTCTTGGATGCCCTTGGGAGTCTCTTCGACTGTCCCCTGATGCCCCTTGGATTGTCTCTGAGATGCTTCTCGGATAGCCCTTGGAGCGCCTTAGGTGCCTCGGGGGAGCCTCCTGGGGCCCCCAGGCGCGTGGAAGTCTGTTATGGGCCTTCTGGGGGGCGGCCTCTTGGAGCCTCCGGGTCGCCCCTTTGGGGCCCTCTTGGGACATTCTTGAGAGCCCTGGGGGCCATC